ATGATAGACAGCATCCAACATCTGCAGAGTGCTCCATGATAGACAGCATCCAACATCTGCAGAGTGCTCCATGATAGACAGCATCCAACATCTGCAGCATCCAACATCTGCAGGGTTCTTGTAGGAGCGTTCATGTAAATAATGTCACCGTGATCAATGGAGGGAAGGAAAGTCACAGATACAAGGTGTTGGATTACAAGTGTTATTCCATATGGGTGAATTGTGTGATCTAAAATTATGACTGTACAAAATTTTCCAACCCAACAAGACATGCTGGTGAAACTGTAAATGTTTTGACAGGGAGATTGAAAAAAAAATCACACCTCTGGATAAAATTGATAATGCCCATTTTATACTAAATATTTTATAGCTTCAAGTTGGAGGTGGAATTGTGTCAGGATCGGCTCCAGAAAAAGACAAAGAGGAGATGCAGTTAGAGAGGACATGGAGGTGGAGTGAGGACAGAGGACACAGAGGACAGAGTGAGATGGAGGAGGAGGACTCGCTTTGGAGACACCTGAAGAGGGAAAAGCAGAAAGAAGAAGAAGAGCTATCAGATTTAAGATTTTAACCTATTTGTTTTAATTCAGTTCAATTCAGCAATACTTTATTAATGGCAAAGGTAAATTAAATGTTGTAACTCATGATCCTGGTTTCATTAAAGAGTTGTTCTAGATGCTGATGGCTGTGGGCAGGAAGGATCCAACTGCAGCAGATCTGAAGAATCCTCTGACTGAAGACACTCTGTTGTTGTATGACAGTCTGATGAAGAGGATGCTGAGGGATAACAGATCCAGTCTAACCCTGAATGTTAGGAAACACCTTGTATCTGTGACTTTCCTTCCCTCCATTGATTACAGTGACATTATTTACATGAACGCTCCTACAAGAACCCTGCAGATGTTGGATGCTGCAGATGTTGGATGCTGCAGATGTTGGATGCTGCAGATGTTGGATGCTGTCTATCATGGTGCACTAAGATTCATAACTGGCTGTAACTACCGTACCCACCACTGCACCCAGTATCCACTGGTTAACTGGTCACCATTAACTTCACACAGACTCTCTCACTGGTACATTTTCATCTTTAAATCACTTCCTGGTCTGCTGCCTTCATACATCTCCTCCTACATGTCTCTGTGTGAGTGCAGCTACAGCGTGCGCTCTCAGGACATCATTACCTGCAGTGTTCCCTCAGTGAGGACTGAACTAGACAAAAGGACCTTCTCCTACTCCGCTCCTGTTTCCTGGAATATCTTGTAAAAAGACCTGAAGCTCTCGACCTTTGACCTCTCTAAGTGGCTTCAAACATCTGATAAGTTCCTGGAAAAAAACAACACAGAGTTGTTCCTGTTTTTAGTTTTCTACATCGCCTTATAACCTAGCTGTTTTTGTTACTGTTTTTGCCATCTTATTTTAATATGTAAAAAAAAAAAACAATAATCTGTATGCTTATTTTATAATTGTCTATTGTTGTCATCATTACTAGAACCTCCTTCTTCCACCTGCGTAATATCACTAACATTAGAAACATCTGATCTAAAGATGATACAGAAAAACTGGTCCATGCATTTGTCACGTCTAGACTGGACTATTGCAATGGTTTATTATCTGGGTGTCCAAATACTTCTTTAAAACGTCTTCAGTTGATCCAAAATGCTGCTGCCAGAGTCTTAACTGGAGTTACTGGGAGAGATCATATCTCTCCAGTTTTAGCTTCTCTCCATTGGCTCCCTGTCAAATCCAGAATAGAATTCAAAATCTGACTTCTAACCTACAAAGCCCTCAACAACCTAGCTCCATCTTATATTACAGATCTTATTGTTCCATATTTTCCTAACAGAGCACTTCACTCTCAGGCTGCAGGTTTACTTGTGGTTCCTAGAGTTTCCAGAAGCAGAATGTGAGGAAGATCTTTCAGTTCTCAGGCTCCTCTCTTGTGGAACCAACTTCCAGTTTCTGTCCATGAGGCTGACACATTGTCCAGTTTTAAGACTTTCCTTTTTGATAAATCCTATAGTTAGGGTCGGCTTGGGTTTCCTGAGCTGTCCCTTAGTTCTGCTGCTATAGACTTAGACTGCTGGAGGACAAACTGACCACAATTTTCACTCTGCTGCTTCTTTACTTACTCTGCTCAACATTTGTAATTATTTTTTCTATCCTTAACATGTGTTTTTTTTTTTTTTTTGTCTTTCAGGTACTCCTGGACCTATATCTGGACCTATATCTGGACCTGGACCTATATCTGGA